TTTTATGCATTTGTTGCATCACATAAAAGTAAACCTAAAAATATTTTCCTACACAGAAAAAGATTAAAAAAAATTATATTTTTATATATCTTTTAAGATTTGTACCAGCTAATTATATTAATACTGAAAAAGCTCCAAGTATGTATTTCCTTAGTTGGAATCTATGAAGGATCTTTAATTATGAAATCAATGGCAATTAAAAGTAACAGTAGGCATAAGAAAACTTAACTAAATTCATCACCTAAACTACATTTTAGGGGATGAAATCAGTGAGATGAGTCAGAGTAATAGAAATTAGAACCACAAGGATTTCAAGAATCCATTCCAACAGCTTGCCAACTTCATTGATTCAAAACACTAGAGTCCTCAAAGTCAGACATTTTCCTGAAAGGAAGATTTTAGCTTGTTTACAATGTTAGCGACATGAAACCAGCATGAGAACAAACACAAGCAAACAGCCAAGCTACAGTATAGTTTGATTGGTCTAGCTTCCATTTTTGGATTTGAAATGGCATTTGATTTGAACTTGTTCCTGGATGGCGTTAATGTAACAAGTGATCTAGAATGAGGACCTCAATATTACCTTCTTCTAATAGACTAAAACTCAATGTACATCTCAGTTTCAGTCATAAATTTAGATATCAAGGAGACAAGTGTCAGAAAAAAAAATAGCAAAGAAATCTATCAGAGTTCAATTTTATCCTGATTAAGAGGAACTTTCTTCTGGATCTCCTCATCTGAGGTGTAGCCAGCTTCTTCAGTTTTCTTCTTGCTGATCTCAGTGTCAGTCAGCTTGGACTTTTTCTTCTTCTTCTTCACCTTCTCCTTTTTCTGCCCATCCTTGCTGTCTTTACCTTTCTTCTTTTTGCCCTTCTTTTTCTTCTTGTCCTCTGTGATAGCTGCCGTGTCTCCCTTTTTCCCAGTCCAGTTCTCTTTAAGACAGCCTGCAGAGAGAATCAGAAGTACGTGTTTGCACAGTCCTGATCTTTATACTGACTGTCCTTACTGTTATTGGCAACAAGTGATCAAATCAGAGCTGCATGTTCGGGAAGTGATGTCTTTTTCTGGCAGATCTATATTGGTTGCTATAGCAATGGCATAAGAGCCAGTACAATGCCAAATTAATCTTTTATAACAGGAAGCAACAAGCTGGTCATATGAAGAAAGACAGCTATTTGTATTTGCTCATTTACACCCCAACTGGCATTTTTTACTGAGGATTCATTACTTAGAGTACTTCTGAAATAGTACTTTGACAAATGTGACACTGGACCACAAAACCAGTCATAAGGGTCAATTTAAAAAAATAAATTTGATTCATACATCTTGCTTTACAGCTTTCCATTGATGTATGTTTTTTTTTAGGATATGACAATATTTGGCTGAGATTCAACTATTTGAAAAAAAAAAAAAATTCTAAATATAGAACAAAATCGCCTTTAAAGTTGTCCAAATGAAGTTCTTAGCAATGCATATTCCAAATCAAAAATTAAGTTTTGATATATTTACGGTAGGAAATTTACAAAATATCTTCATGGAACATGATATTTACCTAATATCCTAATGATTTTTGGCATAAAAGAAAAATCGATAATTTTGACCCATACAATGTTTTTTGGCTATTGCTACAAATATACCCCAGCGACTTAAGACTGGTTTTGTGGTCCAGGGTCACATATGTTTAAATTTCGTAGTTTTTAGTTAAAATAACACACACACACATATATACATACATATATATTACGGTTGAGCGACTTCTGATTTTTTTTAAGTCGACTTTTATGTGATGAAAGTTGAGTCGAAGTCGACTAGTCGCTGATGACGTCATTAATGAACAAATAAGTCTGGACTCTGGAGCTGTGACAAACACCTTGTGCACAGCTATGGCATATGACACAGCGCTGCCCACATGGCTGTTGCTCCTATAACAGCTTTTTTATCAGTTCTTTTGTCTTTATATTCGCTATAAGTCGTTATATTTCTCACAGATTTCTGCTCATTTTAAATCAGATACAGATAAAGCAGCACAGTAAAGATTACATTAATATGAATGCATTAGTGAGAGCGATTGCG